TCTTCTTCTTTCTTTTTCATTTTTACTCTGAGCAACAAGTTTTCTTCTGGAAACCTAAGACTTTCATACTGAAACTTGGCAACTTCATCTGAATTTTCTATAGAGGACAGCAAGGAGCAGCCACATGAGAAGAAAGAAAATTGTTGTCCAGCAGTGAGGGGTGGAAGATGAGGAAACCAATTGCCCTGTGCTGCTGGATGCACAGGGGTGTGTAAGATTTGCAGGCATCCTGTCCTGTGGTTGCTAAACTCCTAAAAGTCTCCCCTCTTGGCTGAAGCCAAAGTAGCTTAGATTTCTAATGCTTTACGTTCAATTTAGCAGTACCATTAATAGTACTTTTTGTTCACAGTCTCATGTTTTGAATTGCCTGCATTTCCTGAGTCATTTCTATGGGTCACTGAGTCCACACACTCCTTAGAGGTGAAACTAACTGAAGAAACTGAGGCCAAGAGAGATTACACAACCTTCTTGTGACTCGGTGTTCATAGCTAAGCCAATTCCTACCTGTTCTCTGCAGTTATACAGCCTGAGTGCTTAAGCAATCCAACTGGTCTGGGTCTCAATTAAATAACCATCAAGTAACTGGAAAGAGTGAAAGAAATGGCTTTTCATCTCTCTTCTGGACTCAGGGTTCTGTTGTGGGCAATCACCCCAGATCCCTGCCCTGCTGTTTGGTGGGTGTGGCTCAGAGCTTCCCTGCCCATGTCCTGAGGTACAACTCCCAGGTCTACACATGGAGTATGACCTCTGACATGGCTGAAGGTCAAGGGGAATAGATGTGTCATATAGCAATTACAGTGTCTTTTGGAAGACGCCCTCCTGCCCTCCCCTTTCTTCTCCTTTAAAAGCTATAACCTGTGCATAGTAAAGCGGACATTCCTCACCAGCTTGTCTCTGGGGTTTGATGGTAAGCCTAGACCCTGATATCCCATATTTAAGGGTGCTTATCTGAGTATGAACATTTACTTCCATGGTAGGTTCCTCTCACTGCCTTGCCTCTTCCACAGTCTGAACCTCTACCTGGCAAAGTGTGACTTATTCTTTAAGGCTATCTTTGATCAAATCCCCCATAGAGCCTTTCCTGCTCCAAACTGCTGAATGAATCACTCACTTCCTTTCTCCTTGCTCCTTAGGTCACATTAAATTATGGTTAATTGGCTTACAATTCTGACTAAAATACTAAGTTGAGAGCTTCATGCAGGTGTGGGCTGTGCATTCATTTGTCTGCCTCTTCCTGAGATAATACCTGCCCATAACAGGTGCTTAATAGTCACTTGTTGAAGCAAATTGAATTTGGAGCATGCACAGCCCCAACCAGTGGACAAATATGAAAAATGGCCTGAGCTGGCTTATTGTTCAGACTTTGGTGAACAGATGTCTTTAAGAGGGACAGGGCAGACCATCTGCTGTAATCATGAGAAGTGTCCAACCCATCACTTCTGCTACAATTTACTCTCAATATCTATCTATTAAAGTCCAGACATTGTCCACTAAATGAGTTTGCAATCTCTACTTCCACCCAGGCACTCACTATGACATGTATAAAACAGATACGATTTATTTATGGTCTTTGACTGCATATGAGGTGACATTCTGGAAAATTACTTTTGTCTTGGCAGGCATCATACTAATTGAATGGTACAAGACCAGATGTGATGGGACAGTGTCTTCATTTTAAGGATTGGTTATGGGTGTTTTGTTGCCCAGACCTGAAGTGTATTTCTAATTCTGGTTCTGAAATTTAAAGTTTGTCATTTTGTTTTTCAATTTGAGAAATGTATAGACAGAGAGAGATGCAGAGATCCTTTCATTGGCTCATTCCCTAGACACACAATGGCAGCTTGGGATGGGGCTGTCATGACTGAGGATGGGAGCTGGACATTAGGGTGTGCCAGGTGTGTGGCAGGAAGCCAACTGCTTGAACCCATTACTGTTGCATTCTAGAGTCTGCTTTAAAAGGAAGCTGCAGTCAAAGTCGAAGCACAGTCGAAGTCAAACTCAGGTACTCTGACACAGGACGTGGCGTCTCCGTTACAAGGCCAAACACCTGACCCAGCTCCAGCATCTTAGGATGACAGTTAAATGCCTTGAAGACAGTTTGGATTTCTTCAGAAGACCAATCAGTTGGAAGCAATTGGCAGCAGGAAATGAACTTGGAGCTGTGTATGTGTGGAAATGCGAAGGCAAGATAAATCACTGGTGTGGTTTAGAAATTCAGCACCTCCCAGCTGTATGCAGATGACCAGCTTTTCAGTTCATTGTGACCAATATTGTATGTTGCCACCCAGCCTATTGGTAGTCTTTTTTCCTTTCCAAGTGATCACAGCATGAAGCTCAATATTTACTCTGAAAAAAAGATGAGTGGAGCATACATTATATAAAAGTAAATTATAAAAAAACCATGAAATGCCAACTTCAGAAGACTTGGGGTATCCAAGAATCTGCCCCTCTTGAGGAGCACGAATAACTTAGAGTTCACTGAATTATACACATCCAGTTTTCATTGGTTATGCCATTCAATTGGAAGCACAGTGCTAAAAGGAACAGTAAATATTGTTCCATGTAGAAATACATAAAATAAGAACTCACCTCTTTTTGACATTTTTATAAAAATATTAAGATGGTCTTAAATTTACCTGTAATAATCAGTGTATAATGTGTTGACTTTTTAAATAGCTTTGTACATTTTATGGTTTAAAATTTCAAGATTAAATAATGATTTTAATAAGGTCAACTTGAGGCACTTAATGGTAAATGGCATAGCCAATTACCTCTTTATACACTTCAACTTATCTTTCTCAAGACTGAACACAAGAATAGCTTCTATTATGAATGGAGAGGCCTGCACTGCTTCATTATTGGTTCTTGTTGGTTCTTGGTGGCTGGGAACTCAGTCGTTTTCCCTGGCCACTGCTGCTTTTGATATTCTGGGATGATTGTTTCAGATGATTACTCACCTAATATGCAGCATAATGGATTCAAAGCTAAATCAAAGCTAGGATGCTATTTACATTTCAATATTTTTGTGTTTGTTTGATATTAGTTTCCCTTCTTTCTGCCATCTCAGAAGCAGTGCAGCAAGACAGAGCTCACGTGACCCAGAGGCAATGGTGGCTTCTGTTCAACACCTGGCATCAGTGAGAAACAAGGAACTCATAACTCAGAAGGAAGAGCCAGTGCACTGCCCCAGAGCCAGTTCAGAGAAGTGGACCTGTCTGAGGGCTAATGTCCACAGCATCAAATGGATCTCCATATCTAATCCCACCAGCTGATCCCCATCGGAGTCAGCAAATACTGATTGATTTTTACAATGATTATAGAACATTTCAGCTAGTTCCTAGAAAACATTCAGAAGTGTGAGATAAAAGTAATTATGAATATACTCTCATGTACATTCAAATACATGGGTAGACGTTGGTAGATGTTCACATGCATTTTAGCTCTGACAACCAGGAGGGCTTAACCCAGGGATACCCCATATCAACACGTTCACAGCCAGATGCTAGTTTCTAAGCAGTATCCACTTAAAGGAAAGAGGGATTGATAGAGAAATTATTATTGATTCTTGGAGTTGGATGGGGAAAGGAAAAAGTGAAAATAAACCTGGGGCAACTTGTAGCATAAGAAAGAGCTCAGAAAACAAGAGTCGGGCCCCGCCCAAGGACTTCAGAAGGCAATCAAAGTAGCTCCTCATGGCCAAAGCTGGGGTAATTTGAAGAAAATAATAAACAGACTCGATCATAATTCAAAGTATGAAATGAATATTAAAATAAACTGTTGGAAAAAATAAATAAGACAAAGACACAAGTATTCAGAGAGAAATTCCATACACGCACATGCAAACACACAGATACATTGCAAGACATGACTCCTCCATAAAGCAAAAATTCACACCTTTCACCCATAAAGTGTGAACTACTTACACTTTGTGATGAGCTAGCAAACACCATGGTGAGGAGAGGGAAGAACACTGCCTTGACAAGGTGAACAGGGCCGACGTCTCCTTGGTAAGTTGTGTTGGTAGTATATCATAGCTAATACAATGAGACTTTATGTCTATAACATTCTTCTCAAAATTCCATAACTTCACTATGACCATGAGAGAAAACACGGTGACCCCCAACTGAAAGGCATTCCACAAAAAATAATTCAACAGCACTTTCCAAAAAGAGCCAAAGTCGTGAAAACAAAGATTGAAAAAGTGTCACAGATCCTACCAGCTAGGGGGACAAAATGTAATGTGATGACCTGGATGGAATTCTGGAACAGAAAAAGAATGTTACCAGTAAGAAAGCAGTGGCATGCAAATCAGGTTTGGGGTAGGTTGAATACTAACATACCAGTGTTAATCTCTTACTTAATGTTGGCCAGTGCATTATTTGGATGCAAGAGGTGGAGGTGAGGAGGGTCAAGGTGCTAGGCTGAATCCTGTGTGGCTTCTCTGGTTGCACATTAATGAGGCCTACTAGGGGGTGGAAACTGGTCAGAAACTAATCAGGATAGGAAGGGACTTGCACTAGGGGAGATCCTGAAGGTTGAGCTTTCAACTATGACACTGGAGAGAGGCTGGAGGTGATCAGTGTGCACAGCAACAAAAGTCACCTGTCTGATGGAAAACCACACACAAAGTTTAATAGACAACACTCCTTTGCCAGCGAGGAGCTGCAGAGTCAATGTGGGTCAAAAGCTGCAAAAGCAAACGCAGTATGGCACAGTGCTTTCCTTGCCGTAAGCTGGCTGTGATGACGGTTTTAATTCAGAACACGGAAGTATTCATCTGAGTCTCATCATCTATTGTTCACTTCTAGTGAACTGATTTCTCTGAGAAGACTTGAAGAGACTCGGGCCTTGCTAACACAGCCTGCTCTTTTATAGAATTAGACACCAGCACATCAGAACTGTGATGGTTGCTACCGTAATTCTCACACCAAGGCCTTTAAAATCTGCTACTGATTTCTCCTCCAGGAAGTTCTCAGAAGGGTATGAATTTGTCTTCTCAGGTACCTCCAGATCCTCAGCTGCTCGGTGTAAACCAGGAGCCAACTGCCCCAGTTCCCACAGCGGCATCAGTCGACAACTGTCTCCTCTGTCTGTCACCGAGGAGTCTTCGGCTCCTATTCTAGAACTTCAGAGTCGAGGAGCCTCTGGAGTTTGTGGACACAGAATCGAGAGACAGAGCCGGACAGGTATGTGGGAGAACCCCTCCTAAATAACAGTGAATTTTGGTAACGTCCCAACAAGCCCGGGCACAGAACGTAGAAGTGCTGTGGGTAGGAGTGGGGAGGATTTGTCCAGTGGAAGGAAGAAACAGGAGGAAAACAGAGAAGGTCCACCAGTGGTATACAGTGCAGCAGAGAGACTGAACCCCAAAGCACAAGGTGAAAGAGCTTAACACAGAGTCAGTTAATGACATTGCATGCCGTTTGCAAGGTTGCTGGCTTTGTCATCTTCAAACTGTCAGAACTTAACCATATTTTATCTCATTCCAGAGATTCAGTAAAAGCACACGATGCCCATTCTGAAAAGAACAAAAACACCAGTAAACAAAGAGAGAGAGAGAGAGAGAGAGAGAGAGAGAGAGAGAGAGAGGAAGAGAGGAAGAAAGTGAGCAAGAAAAAACTTGCTTTTCTTCTCATCAGGATATCCTGTTCCTGGAAACCTCTTAGTTTTCCCAACGTCATAACTTCCATAGCAAGCTTCCTTTGCCTCTCCAACAAACATTTTTGGATCAGATGAGGCCATTAGACTTATCTGCCATCCACCTGACCTCTCCCCAAGGCCTGAATTACTGGGATTGCTAAATACACCTTGCAGCTGGAAATTCATAGTTTCTACATGAAGCTTGGTCTGCTAGGCTGCTGCCTAAGACTATTGCCTATTGGTTGGGGCCGTCTCATTTTCCCCCCAGGGAATGCTCTCAAAGAGCCAAGTTCATACTCACTTCCTGATATCCCAGGAGCATACATCCATCTCCCTGGAAACAGCAAAGGAAGTATTTGCTAACACTTGCTTCTCTACCACAGAAAACCTTTCCTTTGCTAATACTGGAGTGTTGCTCGTGTCTTGCGATTTTATAATGTTAGCTCCCTGACCTCGTGGAGGATCCACTCCTCTAGATGCTACAGTTTGACTTTCCCTCTCCATTCAGCTTGGCCAGAAACAGACTATAGTCTCTTTCATTTTAAAAAACAGTAATAACAACAGCAAAACATCCTATCCAAAATAATAGATGTTAGGGGGTGTGCCTTTGGCATTGTGGTTAAGACCTTGGTTAACACTTCCACTTCCTGTCTGAGAATGTCTGGGTTCTGATACTGAGTTCCAGCTCCTAACTATAGCTTCCTGCTGATACAGACGCTGGAAGCAGCAGATAATGTGTTAAGCAATTGGGTTCTTGCCACCCACATGAGAGACCAGAATTCAGCTCAAATAAATAAAATGAAGGAACAAATAATTTTTGAAAACCAAAATAACTAGATAGCAGCATATAAACTAAACAAGCAAGAAACTCAGAACATTGAGTTCCTTTTAGAAGGAGAAGAAAAAAAGGGTAAGATAGGGATTCAGCCAGGAGTAAATAACAAGAAGAAGATACAGGAGATTCACTAATTTTAGAACATGTTTTATATGAGGAAAATTGTTGTTCAAGAACAAACATTATTTTATCTTATTTGGTAGAGAGAGAGAGAGGTGAGAAGAGTGGGCATTCACATTCACTGATTCATTCTTCAAATGCCTACCTTGCCTGGATCACGTGAGCTGTCGCTGCTGTCTCCAGTGTCCACGTGACCAGGAAGCTGCGTTAGGGAGGGGAGTGAGGACTTGAACACAGGTACTCCAACATATGACCCATCACCATGACCAGTGTCTTAGACCAACTGCTCACTCCAGACAACGTTTTTAAAATGTTACCTCAATGACTATATACACATGAAAGCTAAAATTCTTTTTTGAAAAGATGAAGAAAATTATACCTTAAATTTTCAAAAAGCTTAACACATTGCAACAATACTCCTGCCATCCAGATGTTTACAAGACAAAATATTCCAATGAATGAAGTATGCCGGCTAATAAAGGCAGGTCTTGTATGTCACTATAGTCTACCAATTAAAAAAAAATGAAAACTGTTAAAGATCAGCTGGAATATAGCTTACTGTTTCTGTGACAAGTCGAAGGCATTTGGGGGATGATCCAGTGCACCACGGAGGAAAGAGGGAAAGTGAGAATAATCTAGATTCCGTTCGTCATGATTTTATGGCTATTACAATACTTAACATAAAAACTAATCCCGCAAAAGAGATGTTATAACTGTGCAACAAATAGATGCAGAGCCTGGAATTAAACCTGGACTGTGGATTGTAAAAGGGCAGATTAAAGTCAGATTTCCAAAATCCAGTAGCCTCTACCATGCATTCACTAAGAAAGAGAGAAAGAAAGAAAGAAAGGAAGAAAGAAAGAAAGAAAGAAAGAAAGAAAGAAAGAAAGAAAGAAAGAAAGAAAGAAAGAAAGAGAACTATGACGTGAGAGCGGGTAGGTGGAAGGGAATATTATAGTCTTAAAACTGTAGCTAGTAACTGCATAGAATCTGTTGTATTAATATATTAACATGAGAATTGATCAGAAAAAAAGAAATGGATAGGATTCCCGATACAGCAGTTTTAATGGTATGTGCAAGAGTATAGGTCTAAGCATGCTTATGATGATCAGAAAAAAAAAAAAAAAGAATTCTGTAGGCCCAATCTCTCCAATGCCTTGTAAAATTCCAGAATTAACTGTTCAAGCTGGCCATCAGAAGAACAGGTCAACAACACCCAAGAGTTTCAATGACTGTTGGTGTGCCTGGAATGGCGGTGGCACAGAGGCAATCCTCAAAAAAAGAGAGAGAGAGAAAATACCACCCCAGCAAGAAACTTGAAATGCTTATAATATCAATCCTACCCTATGAGATAGTCCTGAAACTAATGTGATATATGAGTCGTCACCCGCCTTTCTCTGAAGTATCTCTTCTCTTAAACCTCATGCAAGACTGCCAAGCCCATCAGGAAACAGACATTTTCCTCTAAGCTGTTTCTGAAAATTCCAGTGCTCAAATGAAAACATAAGACTAACAGTGTAGCATTGTGAGTATTCAGAATAAAAACATGACACTGGACTCACACTGACTTGGGCTGACCTTAATGTGACTCTCAGTTTGTCACCTTTAAAGTGGGAGTGACACTACCTACTTAGAGGGTACATTCATATCTTTCCCTGCCTCCCAAATCAGTTTGGTCTCCCCTTTATCTTGGTTTTCCTCCCCTACTCTGCATGGCAGAGTCAATGGTCAAAGAGGGACTCTGCAGAACTGTTATTAAGAGCAGGTGTCATCTGCACATGGGTTGGGGTGGGAGCTGGCTGCTCGCACAAACAGGTTCGTTTTAATGTCACTATGTCACGAAAGTTTCTCCTGATCACCTCCCACTCATTCCATAAAGGACTTTGTAGGAGTGTGCGTGGATTTCAAAATTCTTTTAAAACACAGTTACTTGACTTTTTATTTCCATTTCCTAAGAAAGTACCCTCATATCTATCAGAGATGGTCTTTCTCATACCATAGTTGATGTATTTCCTGGCTTCCCACTAGACTACCAGCTCAACTCTATTCTGAGACTACCAACTACTTAACTAGCTCCTGACAGAACTGACATTAGATTTGTTGAATAAATAAAAGAATGCCAGTTTTGATCTTTTGGAGCTCCAGGCTCTGAGAATGTGGCTCTGTTTATAAAATGTCCAAGGCATGTAACATTACTGTGTTCGTATTTACTTGATTTGTATTCTTAAAATAAGAATACACTTTCAAGTCTTCTTTCCCTTTCCCTCCACATGATTATATTGGAAAGCCTTAACTGGGTAAAGGTTGCAAACCCAGCGAGACCATCATGCCTGTCTCATTCGGCAGTGGGATGCCTAGCTCATTAGGCAGTAGGAACACGTTCAACAGCAGAGCTAACAGGTTCTGGAGAGGTGAAGTGAGAAGCCACATGCACTGCCACTTGCAATCCGTGGGCTTCACTGCTCTCTTGATCTCCAGAATAGAATTCCCATTTAAGGGAGGGTCTTCATCGTTACAAAAGGGACAAAAACGGTCTTGCAGACAATTCTGCCACCGCGGATCTGATGACTTCTGTTTATGTTCAACTTCCTAATAGGAACATGAAGTCATTAAAATGTGTGCTTGAATTTGTTTTCTCTATCCAGGGAAAGCATTTTATAATGATCACTTTCAAAAAGCACTGACTATTTTGATAAGGAAAAGAATGCTACTATGTTTTCTTAGAAAACATAAAAAATATAGACACTGTGATGCCCCAAAAAATACATTAGGAAGCAATTTGCTGTGAGGCAAGAAATGATTTTGTGTTGTCAAAACGTGCTCCGGTCTTGGTATACATTGCTTTTTGATTTGATGGTTATCTTTGATGCAATTAGAAAATCACGGTGGACTATGAAAACAGGTATTTATTTCTGTTTACTTTCCTTGTTAAATGGAGAAGGGCAACTTGAGATTAGTTCTGCTTCTTCCTCCACACAGATTGAATGCTCACCTTCTCTTTGGCAGTTCCCATTTTGATGACAGAGCAGGTGAGCCAGAGAACTGGTGGGGCCCGTTATTCCTCTTGAAGGTCCTGAGAGCAGCCTAGCCACTATATGTTCACACTTGATTGGACAAAACAAGTCACATGGTAGAGGTCAACATCTTTAGGTGCCAAGATTTGACACTTCCTTACAAGCAAAGGAGTAGGGCACACTAGAGAATGGCATATCCAACAAGTTCCAGAGTCACCCTGCACCATCTAAAGCCAAGATACCACAGAGAAAACAAGCCTGGGTTCTGCGTCTCCTGATGACGGTAGGAAAGGACACCACAGTGATGCTACAATCTGTCTCTTCAGTTTCCTTCAGTGGGTTTGAATGTGTTGGATTGCTGGTTTATGATCTGACTTACCCTTCCTGGTTCCAGGGGACGATGGGACACAGCCTTGTCCTGAGAGCAGCAGCCAGGAGAACAGGATCAAGGCCCGCTGTCTGTCCTGCACGTCGGTGGTTCTCAAGGCTGTGTGGGGACTCTTGATCATCTTGTCGGTGTCATCGTCTTGGGTTGGAACCACACAGATTGTAAAAATCACATATAAGAACTTCTACTGCCCATTTTTCATGACTTGGTTTTCAACAAACTGGAACATTATGTTTTTCCCAGTCTATTATTCTGGTCATCTGGCCACTGCTCAAGAAAAGCAATCTCCAATGAAAAAATTCAGGTAGGTTTCTAGATTCATGGACAACAGGGGATGTTTGGAAATTCATTTTATGCAGACACACAAATTTTCATCTCTTTGAAACATGGGTAAGTTCTCTTTTAAACACAGAGAAGCAGGGCCTATAATTGAGAATGCACTCCAGAAAGAAGAGTGGAGACTCTATTAAGAAATAAATTGTGTCTACAATGTACAAGGCACTGTACTGGTGTGATTGCATATCTCATCTCATTTGATCATCATTAGTGATAACAAATTTACCTTTAAAGGTAGCATTACTGTCCCCATCTTAACACAAAAGGAAACAGACTCAGAATGGTTAAATGACACACTCAAGGTCAAACAATGATAAATAATGGGATCCAAGTTTAAGTTTACCTATCTCTAAAAACCATACTTTAAAAGAATATCATCTCAATGTCTGTCTCAACTTCTCCCAAATCTGTACTAGTAAAAATGATTTTAATAGAAACTTCAGATCAATATTCTGAACACTGTCGTCTGTAAGCAGGTGAGATGACCTGGCTTCATGCCACGGGAGATTTGGTCCAGAGGAATTGAAAGCTGCCATTCTTTGCTGGCGAGGAGCACAGGAGCCCTCCTTTTGGCTCTGCCTCCTGGGGAGTCCTGTGCCTCTAGTGGCTGCCCCGTGATGCCCTTGGCTTGTGCCACCGTCCATTGAAAAGGTCGGGGAGGCAGATAGGACTGACATCATACATAAATCCTTGCACAGCTCTCAAGGAAGGTAAAAGCAGTATGCATTTCAAAATTCCTGTATGAATAGACAATTTTTTTTCTTTTTAAAGATTTATTTTATTGGAAAGTCAAATTCAGAAAGCGATCTGTCCGCTAGTTCACTCCCTAGTGGCTGCAACATCCAGAACTGAGCTGATCCTAAGCCAGAAGCCAGGAACTTCTTTGGGGATGCTCATGTGGGTGCAGAGTTCCAAGGCTTTGGGCCATCCTCTACTTCTTTCCCAGGCCACAAGCAGGGAGCTAGATGATACATGGAGCAACCCAGACATAAACTGGCATCCATATGGGATGTGGGTGCATGGAAGGAAATTTAGCTACTAGGCTATTGTGCAGGGCCCAAATGGACAGATTATTAAAAAAGAAAAACCAGTGTAAATGTTTGCTTAGCACTGAGGTTGTCCCTTAAGATGCCCGTGGCATCAAAATGCATAGATCTGAACCCTGGGTCTGGCTGCTGACCCTAGCATTCCTGCTAGTGCGAACCCTGGAAAGCAGAAGTGACAATCCACATAGTTCCATTCCCAGTTCCCACGTCAGAGACTGAAATGCTTTTTCTGGCTTCTGATTTCAGCCTGGCCAGTCTCAGGGGTTTTCTCGCTCTTCTTCTTGGAAACAAAAAAAGGAAAATATGGGACTCAATAAAGTTCCAGGGCAATCACTCTCTATACTGAGACAAAGCAGGAACCAGAGACCCAGTAGGGACTGAATGGGGAAGTGCCAGTTCTCCACAACAACTTATTGGTCTCCAGGGGAATGGCTATAAGCTTGTCCTGCAAGAGCTGAAATAAGCTTTCTCAGTTGCTCCTACACCCAGTGAAAAGAAGGGATGATTACAGTAACCAGTACATGATGAGGTAACTCTTAAAACCTTAAGAGTGAGGAGGCCTTATCCTCAGCTTCCGTCTTCTGTCACCAGCACGGCAGTGGTTAGTATATTTAGGTCATCCTAGGAGTGGTTTTCTACATGTGATCATGAAAACTCAATTATAATTAAGGAAGAAAAAACAAAAAAACACTTTGAAAGAACAAATGTTGTCTGGTTCAGCAGGAAGTATAAAACTCCCTATCTATTTGTGATTGCCAAAGCTAAATTTGATTCCCTTTAAGTCAAACATGATTTGGGGCATGTTTTTAAAGGATGGTATTTAATAAACAATTACAGGAAAAGGTAATTATCAAAGTAAAATTGTCCCTGTTAGAGAATATCCATATGGACCCAGATAACAAGTGGATTCTACTTAATGCCCCTGTGTTTAGACACACGAGTATTAGAAGCAGCACTTCAAGAAACTTCAAATCAAGTCAAGTTGGTTTTATTTAAGATTGCACATTTACACAAAAGGCTACTCATGACAGACATGTTCTTCTGTGAATGAACTTCATCTTTTCCATTTTGCTGATGTTGGGCTAACTCTGAAGTTAATAAAATCTACACTTGGACAAGACACCCTTCCTATTAGCCCTGGGAGAATTAAGCTGGCCATTTCTAAAGCAAATCAAAGTGCTTTTGTTGTGCAGAATAAACCACTGTCTTTGAAGGGATTATTCTCTAGTGGTCCTCTCCATATGAGAAATAAACATTGCCAGAAAAATCTTAGAGCCTTGATCTTTTGGTCCCATGTAGACTCATTAACACCATCTGCCAGGAAGGTACTCTCAAAGCTCTGCTTCCAGAACAAGAGGAAAAAAGTTCATGTATCAAATTGGGAGTAATATTTGTCCCATGACACCTGAACTTCTATTTTCTCTTAAATGGTATAAAAGAAGTTACATATTTTTTTCTTTATCACTAGCAACAAGAGAATATTCAGGAAAGTACCAAATCCACATGCTGAGGATTGTCCATCTGGAAGTAGGTTTTGATGATTCAATAATTCCATATATACTCCCAGGAAAGCTCAATCGCCACAAGAGATTTTGAAATTTAAGAGGAAAAAATTACATACCATAGCTCTAACAGATTACAGAAAATAGAATTAAGATCCAAAGACACAATAACACTTTGAGACGTGCTCAGACACCTGACATCCAGAAGGGACTTAATCTAGCAGTTGCAAGAATAAAGATGAGCCCAATTGAATTTCCACAGTCCCCAATGTCCAGGCATCATTCCACAGTTTGCTACTTGCCAATGCCCCTTCTCCAGAAACTCTCAGCTCATCATCCCAATGAGAGGTCTGCTGTTATTTCTGTTACTCTGTTTCCTATAAAAGATCTGTTCTAAAATTTTTCACATTTTTAGAAAGATTTATTTATTTCAAAAGACAAAGTTGTAGAGAGACATACAGGAAGAGAGAGAGAGAGAAAATCTTTCCTGTTCTAGTTCATTCTCTAAAGCATCACAAATAGCTAGGGCTGGTCCAGGCCACAGCCAGGAGTCTGGAATCCCATCCAGATCTCCCACCTGGATGGCAAGGGCCCCACACTGGGTCATCTTCTGCTTCTTCCCCAGTAGCTTTGTCAGAACAGCAGAGATTCAAACTGATATTCCTGTGCTGCCCGTGTTACAGATGGGCCGCTGTGTCACAACTCTGACTCCAAATGGTTACATTTTTTAGCATCTAAAACTTAAATGGTGTGAAGTGTGGTGCAGTTGGCCTGGTATGTGGGAAGAGAGCAGCTATGACCCCCACAGCAGGGGGGCAGATGGAGAGAAGACCGACAGGGACTGGAGGAAGGAAAAGAAAAGGGAGCCATGAGGGAATGAGCCCTGGGGTGTGGGTCAAGTCAGGTGAGAGTGGCCTCTACTGGACACCAGTGTTTCCCCAGCCACTTGGCTGTGAAGCTTTCTCTGTCCCTATGTAGCCACTGGTCTGGTCTGGGGCCCCAGAACATTCTTCCTGCTTCAGAATCCACCACTATGATGGTGGATTGCAGGGAAAAAGAACCATTCATGGCTAACAGTAAGAAAAGGAAATGTTTTCATAAAAACTGAGGTTTGTGGTGCTTTTAAGTAAAAGTGCATCTTAAAAGGCTTCATTGGTTGGGGGTGACACCATAAGCCCACGGCTCCTCCACAGCCCCATGCAGCTTCTGATGCTTTTGTAAGTAGAGACTGTGGAGCCTTGTACAGGTAGCTGTAGGACAGCTATCGCCTGTTCTGAATACTGTGCATTGGAGTCCCTGAGTGGCCACAGGGCTGTGGCGAGGCCATGCTTGCTACACGGTGTGAACACATGCATTCCAGGCTGCTTTAGATTGGACCTTGCCCTTGGAGCTTTTAATCCCTTTATTGGTTAAAATTTCATTTTTATTTTACGAAAACTCTCCAGTTTTAGTTGTGTCCTACATATAAGTGAAAGCATTCTGCAAGGATCTATATGAGCAGTGAGCACTTGTAACATTTCTGTAATCGCTAACCTACAACTCCCTGCATTCTTTGCTGTTTCAAAGCCACACGAACTGTGAGTCACAATCCGAAATCTGAAAAGTTGTTCTGGGAATTTTCATCACTTGCTCTGTGTGGTCCTACTGTAAGTGACTTTGTATGTGAGAGAGAAACGCAGGTTACTGACCACGTGGGTTTGCAGGCACAGTTGTTCTTCTGTGGATTCTTGGAGCCAGTCCTCCTGCTGTCTAGAGCTGTGTCAATACAATCTATTGCAAATGTTACAATCATGTTCAAATATTCATAACTTGTTCATTTGAACAAAATCCTTACAGTACAGTAGAAAACAGGATGCCAAGTGCAAGTTCCCCAATAAATGCTTGAATGTTCATGAATAATTGAATGAAAACGCAAAGCTGAATTCTCTTGTCTTCAGTACCCGTGGTATACAGGCACTGTTAGGGTCTCCTTTTCATTACTGCTGAAGGTATCACTAAGTGAACATGTAAATTGCAAAGACCTCTCAGGAGGCTGCATTTAGTCTGGTGGTTAAAACACTGGCCAGGTATGCCTGTGTCCCAAGTCAGGGTGTGTGGGTTTGCTGCCTGGCTCTACCTATTAACTCCAGCTTCCTGTGAATACAGATCTCAGGAGAAAATACTAACTGTTCAAGTAATCATGTCCATGTCACTCATATGGGAGACCTAGACTAAGTTCCCAGCTCCTGGCTTCAGACTAGCCCAGTCCTAACTGTAGCAGGCACCGGAAAACCAGTTAATGCATTGATGCTCACTCTCTCACTCATGCCTCTCAAATATATTTTTGAAAAAATAAGAAAGGGAAATTTTCTCCTTGAGCTAAATAGTCAATTTAATCAGAGATCAAAAGAAAAAATATACAGATTTAACTGAAAGGACTCCTCCAAAGTGGCCTATGTTTACATTTTAATGTAACCTAAATTTCACATTTAGTTTTTAATAGCTTGGGAGTCATCACAGAGGCTTTGAAAATGCTTCTGTGTTAGAAGCAACCTCAAAGGATTTACATTTACCTAGATGTGAGGCTGCTGCCTGGGACATCTGCATCCCACTTCACAGTACTTGGATTGGAGTCCTGGCTTCACTCAGATTCCAGCTTGCTGCCACTGCAGACTGGAGGCAAGGGATGGCCTATGTAGCTGAGTCTTTGCCACCCCTGTAGCAGACCTGGATTCAGCTCCCAGGCCTGGGTGGGCATCTGGGGAGTCAACTGTCATATGGACCTCTTTCCCTGCCACCCTTTCTAGTGAGAAAAGCAATTGGCCTATTCAGCATGTATATTCTAGAAAAAGACACAGATATGAGCAGATTCACAGATGTGTGGGTCCCTGACCCAGAGGAAGTGAAGTGTCTGCAGCCATTTGGTTTATCACATTCACTTTTTGGAAAGGACTTTCCCTTTCTTCCTTAAGCTCATGATTTCCATACTTGCCCATTTCTGTCTTTCTCTGGGCTTCTCTGAAAATGTCCAGAACCAATAGCAGGCCTGTCCTGGGAGTCTCCCAAGAGCACCTGCATAGGAGACCATCGGTGTCTGGGGACATAAGGGCTTTTCTCCAAGGGCCCTCCCTGAAGCCCAGAGGTGGCAGAGCTGAGCGTAGTTAGTCCACAGATGGGTTCCGGCTCTTCCTGTCCACTTCTACCTGAAAAGTGTTGTGAAGAGTTAGACAAGCTGTGCCAACCTATACTTTCTGTGTATTCATCTCTTTTTCCTCCTTAGGGAATGCAGTCGGATTTTTGGTGAAGATGGCCTGACCTTGAAGTTGTTTCTTAAAAGAACTGCTCCCTTTTCTATCCTATGGACTTTGACAAATTACCTGTACTTATTGGCTTTGAAGAAGCTGACGGCCACGGATGTGTCGGCTCTGTTCTGTTGTAACAAAGCCTTTGTCTTCTTGCTGTCCTGGATCGTGCTCAAGGACAGGTTCATGGGAGTCAGGGTAATGGTTCGCTCGGTTCACTGTGCAACGTTGCCTTTGGCTGTGGAGCTGGACCTCAGGAAGGCTGCTTTGTGCCATGGAGTTTCTGTCAAACTTTCCCCATTGGTTCTGAATACAAATTAAAATGTGAAGATGCACTAGAGAGTACAGGCAGAAAGACCACGAAAAGATATTGGGATGGCTTCCACGGGATGGTCAACTGATTGCAACAGGAAGACTAAGAGAGAGAAAACATGTTCTTATCTTAGAATTGATTTTTAGCATTGTGATCATGGGTCCTTAGAATGGAAGGATCTAAAAAAACTAGCCACAGTAAAGATTATGGCTTTTTTCAAAAATCAAGAAATGTTGGTAAATATTCAAACACTCCCCAGGCAGGCCCCTTTCATGGGTAGATTTAATTAATATTAGTGTAGGGAGGTAAGATTCTCTAATTCATGTCAGCAGAAATGGCACAGTGCAGAAAACATGGCTAGCTGTCTCATGTGAATAAGGTAGAAAGGAAAGTAAAAGCAACAGCTCCAACTTCGGGGTGCAAGTTCTTGGTTGAATTGTGTTAACTCCCACCAACCACTTCAGTTCTGAGATTATTCCTCTCAGGAGTAACGTGGATTCACACGATTTCTGAATGCCTGCTCTGGCTTAGAAATAGATTACTTGGGGTAGAAGATGCAGTAGTGAAGAGCTACGCTTCCTTCATACAATTTGAAGAGCCCCCGTGATGGAAGTGCTGAGCCAACTGGTGCCTCGGAATGAGGGCCAAATGAACAGCCTCTCCCTAGACTATCAACATCACACAGCTCGCTGTTTTCTCAACAATGCATCCAAGATTGGATTTGAAGTATATTTTGCTCTCAAAATGTTGCTTCCTTTTTTGGCAAAGATTTTTAGGTCCTTGCTCTTCTCCAAAATGCTAAAATTATGTTTATATGAGAGAGAGAGAGAGAGAGAGAGAGAGAGAGCAGGAGCGAGCTAATGATGGTTATTAACCTTGAAAGATTTAAAAGTATATATATCCAATTACAAAATTATGATTGCATTAGGGGAGATGCTACTCAGAAATTGAAAACTGAAGCTTGATGCAAGCCACAGCAGAAAGTCTTTATGGAGGACAAAAAGTTATGTCAGTTGTGGTATTACCATTTATCCAAATGTGATGTCACACTCTGCTCTGGTTGATCTTAGATTTGACATTCCTGGGGCTCCACCTCATGCAGTTGCAGCTGGGAGCTGGGGTACAGGAGCTGCCTGTCTACCATCCAGAACCCAATAAATCCTTCAGAGTCAGGACCCCTCTTCACAGTCCACTGCCCCATTGAGGACGGACTGTGTAACATACATTCCTGTGAAAATGAAACACAGGGCTTTTTTTTTTTCCTTTTCTTTTTAGAAGCATCAATCATTTCAAGACAGCAGAAACAGGGCAAGTGCAGGGTGCAAGAGGCAGAGCCTTCTTAGCACAGGATCCAATACGTCTGTGCAACCACAGAGCCAGCCTGACCTCAGAGCATAAGGTTGAAGTTCAATGGCTGTTTGAAGACATAACGAATGAACTCATTCATGCTTTTGTGAAATCTTTCTCTTCACTATCTTCCACTACTACAGGACACCCAAGTCAGAGGGATTATCAGAGGGGAGGCCTTGTCAGAGAGGAATTAAGAGTAAATGGAGGCATTTTTCTGCTTTTTCGGAGGCAACTAACAGAAACAAATCACCACATTCACTATGAGATTTACCAGTGAGAAAATTAGCGTATTAGCCTGAATAAGCATATTTGACCTGGACCTCCAGATAACAGGTATCAAAGGTATAATGTAAATTTGAATTCTTTTAGAGAAAAAAAAAAACCTCAGTTATATAACTTAAATTTAAATTACAGATTGACTAAATTTGCCTAGAGACTACTAATCATTGTCATTTTCAATATGGGATCCCCAGTGTGTTGGATGACAGATTCCCAAAAGATCTGCCCACATCTTAATTTCCACAAGCCATGAAAGTGAATTTCTGGAATAGAAGTCTTTGCATATGTCAGTAATGTAAGGATCTTGGGGGGGAAAAAAAAGAGATTATTTTGGATTATCTGGGTGGACCCAAAGTCCATCAAGAAGCTTGTAAGAGACTCACATGGGAGCTGCACGGAAGAGGAGAGGGCCATATGAGCACACAGACATGTGGGAATGGTTGCCTTGAGGCCAGGAGTGCTGGACAGCCATGCCAGGAGGGACAAGAAATGTGTCCTACCTGGAGATGCTCTCGGGGGCATGGCTGTGTGGGAAGTCAAGCCTCTGACTTCCACAACATTGCCAAAGCCATTTTTTTTTTAAAGATTTATTTTTATTATTTTTTTATTGGAAAGGCGGATATACAGAGAGGAGAGATAGAGAGGAAGATCTTCCGTCCGATGATTCACTCCCCAAGTGAGCACAACGGCCGATGCTATGCCAATCCGAAGCCAGGAGCCTCTTCCGGGTCTCCCACGGGTGCAGGGTTCCAAAGCTTTGGGCCATCCTGGACTGCTTTCCTGGGCCACAGGCAGGGAGCTGGAAGGGAAGTTGGGCTGCCGGGATAGAACCGGTGCCCATATGGGATCCCGGGCGTGCAAGGCGAGGACCTTAACCACTGCGCCACCGCGCCAGGCCCAAAGCCATTTGTTTTTAATGTCACCAAGGTTATAGCGATTTATTCCCTCAGGAAACTCATCTAGCATGTAACAATAAGAGGTGATAGAAGACTCTAAAGTCCCCCATAAGCATTTGCTAATAAAGCCATATGCAAAATAAGATGTCAAAGATGGCAAATGAATAAGCTTTAGTATCAGGCATGCTAAGCGAAGCTGGATATTTTTCCTTGAAAATGACAAGTAGTACTTCACTTCTCACTGTGAGGCGTTAGGAAGTGTTGTATGCCACATTTCCAAAGAAGCTCCAAGTACAATTTTAATGATTCCCATAATCAGGACATGGAATATGAGAATTACCAAAACATATTCAGCATTTTGCCTTTTGACAGTGTCAGCAAGTCTTCCCCTCTTGAGACACATGGAGAACATGTATAATTAGGTCATTTGAGAAATTAAAGGCAGGCAAACCAAGCAGCAACAACTTGAATACAGCTCTCATTGCCTATGTCTAAAAATAATCTGAACCACAACCCCTCCAGATGTCTCTTCACTGGATTCCTCCTGCTTAAAAATGGTTGGAGAGATGCTTTCAGTCATCAGATTGGATTTTATTTTTATGGTTCATGTGCAAATGTCTGTAGTTTAGATACGGATGATTGTTGAATTATAGTTCTGGTTTGGCCCCACATATGATCATATGTAAGATGAAAGCGATGGCCTTCCCTGCTGCTATTTTTCATGTCAAAATTACATCACAAAAAGAATAAAAAATGCTGTACGTCATAACAGCAGTAAACATGAGTCTATAGATACTATGGGCCAGAATGAGCAATGCTCATGTAACAGTCAATTATAGAGTTTGAATCACACTTGTTACTATCTTGTTTAATTGTGTTACAGAGGTGACCTGCCATCTTTCATCTTTTATTATAAAATCATTAGAATGAACTTACTGGCAATCTTTGCTATTAAAAAAAACTTTCACGAACAACTGCTTGTAGTTGATATATGATCATATGGTAGAAATTAGTAAATTTTTTCAAATGATCATACTTTATATTGAAAATGCTATATACAACATGCTAATCTAACACTTGCAGCGTTGAATTTGGAGTTTTTCCACCTCTGAGATTATGTCTTCTTTAGCTATCATTTTTACATTCATAAGAACCAGAAAAATCACTCACCTTTGTGGAAGAGGGCTCTTCACAAGAAAATCAGCCATTGCCAGTACCTGGGAGTTGTCTCTCTCTCACTGGTACCTGTTCCACACCAACAAAACATTGATGTCAGACTGCGGGGTTAGAAATCTTGTATTTAGATCTTAATCCATTTCTATTCTCAAATTCCCCTGGATATAGGAGAAAACTAGTGCTCAGAGAATGATCCAGAAGATTCTAACTGTATCAGAAAACTTAGGAAATGAACTTCTGTCCCTTCACCTTAACACTGATATGTTGTCCAGCCCTATAGGTGTCCCTGTGCAGTCAGCTTCCCAATGGTGGCTGTTAAAGAGATTATGTATTCACCAAGGACTGACTGGAGTATGTTAATGAAACTGAACCTTGGGTTGAATTTAAACTGGCCTCGAGATGCTCTACACCAGGAGACTTGGACTGAGTTGCTACTGATTTGTACTGATGCTGAATACCAAGATAAAATTTGGGATGACCTTTTGTTTCCATCTCGCCTCTGATTACTGCTCATGCATACACAATGCAGGATTCTCTGTCAGGAACCTTGGTGCTTTTTAGGGCAGGCAGTACAAGGTGGATAAAAGGTCCTGACCCTGCTCATCTGGTCTTCTAGAAGACAATGACATGAATACGGCAGGTAGAGTGGAAGTTGGGTTGTGATGGTGCTCAGGTTTTATGCCCATGAGGAGTCCATATTCCCTTCATGAAGGTGTGACATGTTGACTTTCTGTGGACATCCTTCAGTCTTGGCTTGCGGAATTCTCTCCCTCTTATCTATGCAGGTCTCACTTTGAGATCACATTCAAGTGAATTTGATATGAAAAAGAATGCAAGTGAGTTGTGTTCAATGGCCTAGCACCCCTGAAATTTTGCTGCCATCCAAGAGACTTTTCTAGACCCTCCCATTCACACCATACCCAAATCTCTACAGATTATCGTACCTCCTTTATTTTTCACATTTCAGCTTTTGTTCCATTTAATTGGATCCAAGTGACATTTCTTCACAGGTTCCTAAATATATCATGTGCAGAAATTCAAGGATTTTTCTATCCATAGTTCCCTGAAACATGATTCTCCCTAACTCCACTCATGGAGGAAAGAGGAAAGAGTGTTAATGCAGCTCTCTTTGCCTCACTGTTGGTATGTATCCCAGCCTCAGCTGAGCTTGAGTCTACCACTCACAAGTCGTGTAATTGGAGATATGCGTTTTAGGTGCTGCTGTAGGTTTGGGGATTCAATGATCTGTTGAATTAAGCTCCTCAAGTTTCACCCAGCTTGAATACACAGAATTAGCAAACACGCTGGGGTTCACATCACTCATAGAACTTGAAATACTTCAAGAATACTGTTGGAAAAGAACTGGAGTAAAGAGATAAACTGTGGTGCCTTAGATCCTAAAAAAAATTGGTATTGGTAACCAGACGGCAAGCCTGGAGACCAGCTAGAAATGGGAGTCTCAGAGAACCTGATGGGGCTGGTAAATCCTGCAGGAGAACCACAAGCTTCTGGACCCTCTGTTTTTATAAACTAATGATTTTACAGGTGAAAGAGACTGAGTTTCATGAAGGGTCACAGGTGATAGCTGGCACAGTGAGATTCCCAACTAAATACCCATGAAGCGGTCTCTGAGTTTTGGGGAATAGGCTCATGTGGTCCCAGAGGCCCCTGTGCTTGGCCTTGACCACCGAGGAGAGTTATCCTGGAGGAGGAGCCAGTAGCTGGCTGGCCCAGGTCTCTCAACCAGGGCGCTGGAATAACAGGGATACTAAGTCCTCTAGGAGCACTCACCTTGGATGGGTACACAGTGTGAGAGGACAGAGAGATTTAGGAAACTTAAAATGGACACCTCGATCATTTGGGGGTCTCCATGGTTACTAACATTCTCTATTCAACCAGATTCAGGTAATGGCAATGGTGGGGTTGCCATCTTTTTCAGACATTTTCAGCTGATGTGGAGGCTGGACTCAGAACAGGTTGTCAGTAGAGCCACGATGTTCAGAAAGCAAACAGCTCCAGTTCATTGTGCAGTTTCAGCAGCTGAGTCCCTCTTACAGGTTTCATGTGTCCCCGAAGCAATTTTGGGGTTGTCACCCTGTGCATGAGCACAAATGAGCATTTGTTGACACAATAATTAAGGCGCTGGCTTCTTATAGACACATTTTCAGTGAGCTGAGTTGAGCTGTGAATTTTTTTTTCTGTTGAGGAGTGATTATTAATCCTTGTTTAATGGATAATTCTGAAAATGCAAAGAGTCAGATACGTGCTCCTGTTATTTCTTCTGTGGACATTGAAGTTAAACCAGCAAAGCCAAACAGAGCCACTTCAGAATCACCCAAAGGATGATTGTTAATAGGCCATACGTCCAACACGGTCTTACATTTTCAGGATTGGCTGAGGTTCTTTCAATTACTTCCCACTGGGTACATCTACATTGAGATTTTCTTTAAACAGCCATAGAGGATTTTTCCTATCAGCTAGTTGTGAAATTTGGATTTAAATGCAGCAAATAGATCAACTTATCTTCCCTCTGAGGAACACACATGTATATATAGCCTACAAGTTATTGCTTGTGCCTTGGAGAAAGATTTTTCAAATATCTCAAACATTCCTATTCTCATGCTTTCAGAACTTAATTGCTTGGTCACCTAAGTGAAAAAAAAATGCTCCTTCCCATGAAGGTAATTGCAAGAGATCCTGTGTGATTGAAGTGTCCACTTAAGCAATCCACACTTGTATTTTCACAAATACTTGAAGAAGCAACAGAGATCTGTAAGAGGCTCATTATAGTTGTAATTCTGAATTACTATGAAACCATGTAATCTTTAGTCATATCCAACCCTTATCTTAAGAATATTTATTCTTGAACTTTATGCATCTACATTTTTACTGAAGGCTAACTCAGAGAAGAGTCACTTGTGGTTATTGCCTGTGGATAACTCTAAACAGGAAACAGCATATTGTGTTCAAGTTTGTTAGATTGTTTCTGTTACCTTTATCTTGCAATAATTACCTGTTTGAGAAAACACAGCTGATATTTCGCCCAAAGAAAATATCTATCAGCTCATATGTGTTGTCCTAGATATTCATTCTTATTGAGGGATTCTATGTGAGCACATGAATACTGTAGCCTTTGAACATTACTTAGACAGGAAGACACATCATGAAATGCCAGTATCCAATGTGCCTTTTCATTTCTTTGAAATCAGATCACCCAGAGAATTGTTGCAAATCCCTAGCACAGCTATGCATCTCCAAATCAAGGAAAGTGATAACAGCTACAGAACTTACAGGGCTAGCAAACACCCTCCCAATAATTATTTATGAGTCTATTATCTGTTGTCCAGAAACGTTCCCTGACACCTCAAACCATGTAGTAAATCCTGCTCCCCATAGTTTGAGGCAGGGCGTGTGGCACACATTTGACACGCTACTCATTCCCACCCTGCAGCTGCCTGGGTCCTATATGATGAAGACAGCTCTGCTGACATGGCAGCACCTGTTCTCAAACCCTCCTGCTGCTCCTCCAGAAGAGGAAGCTGCACTAAAGCCAACTGTGTCCTGGCTTTGGGTGGCAGTTAACAAAGAACTGGGTTAGTGGAATCTAATGATAACCATCAGGAGCATGAGTCAAAACTCTGCCTTTGGTTGTAAGAAGTAATTCACTGATGTTCCAAAGGGGTCCCCCAAATCACACTTATGAATAGCAAAAGATCTCAGAGGAAGTTACTTATGGGGAATACTCAGAACTGAAGTGTAACAAAATTAATGCAGCTTTGAATTTCTCACACACTTTCATCTTGATTTCAAAGTCAGTGAGACTGTTTCACAAGGAAATGATGCATTGTTCCCTAGTCCTGGCATGCTGCTTTACTGTGGTTGTAGGTTTGAAAATGTTTTCCAGTGCAGTGACTTCAAGACAATTAAAGAAATAGTTCCAATCAGCATCTCACCAAGGTAGATGTTTCGAATATACTCAGGACTGTATGATTTTACAATAAGCCATGCTGACGTCAGTCAGATTATGAATGGCCTACTTTCTGCAATGAAGGAGTGCTGTAGCATAATTAAATGAAATTATCTTTCTGTGGTGCACCTAAAATGGAATTCATTTGCATGTGAACTAAGTGGAGAAGTGGCCTCTGACATCCGAGTGATGGAGCAATCAGCTTGTTCCTGGGCCCACCCCCAGGAGAGGTCTTCATTTTCTTCCCTTAGCTTAGATTTATCACTTAGACAGGAAGACACATCATGAAATGCTGGTGTTGGTGTTATTATAGTAAAGTCTTGGTGATGTGGACATCTTCAGAAACTGATCCAAGGAACTGATTAAAATGTATGCTGAATTGTTTGAAGACAAAGAACACAGCACAGATGAGAATGCTTAAAAGTGACTTCCAACTAAATCTCACCAATATGGCCATTAATATTTAGAAAGCCAACCTAAAATAATTGCATGGAAGCTGCCTGCCCTTCATAAAAGAGAGAGAGAGCAGCTTTTATTTCCTGTACCTGGGTGTCTTTTGAGAACACTGTCTTTGTTTTTTATGTTGACCATCCCTGCAGTTAAGCAGTAGGTATAATGTAGTAGAAGAAATTGGGTTTCAGGAAGTACTTGGCAATGTTCACGCAGTCTGGAGTTGTTTGATCTGGGGTACGGGAGGCATCAAGGTTTTCTTCTGTTTCCTTGCATTGTATTTGACAGATAGTTGCTGCAATAATGGCAATCACTGGCATTGTCATGATGGCCTACGCAGATAACTTCCACGCTGATTCCATCATAGGAGTGGCCTTTGCAGTGGGGTCGGCCTCCACATCTGCACTATATAAGGTATGTCGCACACTTTCTCTGACAGTTGACTGTAAAACCTTAGGCTGAAGTGATAAGGGAAAGAAATGCAACAAAGACCTTGAGTTGAAAAAAGGTAGATGTGCTTAAACAATACTAAGTGCCACTTGCAGCGTCATTTACTGGGCACCTATCAGAAAATTTCACCTGCTTACTATGACTCTATGAGGCATAGATAGTTATTCCCACTTTCCAGGTGAGAACTGAGCCTTTGAAATATCAAGTAATTTGGCCAAGGTTGTACAACCAGAAAGATATAGAGCCATGAACTTAAATTCCAAATCAGTCAGCTCCTAAGCCTGTGCCGCTTGCTCCTGCTCCCCTGCTTATCCACACATGAGAAAGCTTCCTATTTCTATCTGAATTGGCCAACTGTGATCATCGTTTTAACTTCACGGAGGCATTATGAACTACAAGCCAGCTGTTTCCCTTCTGATGGCGTCCTGAGCCCACTACGTGCACTCTATTCTTCCTTCTCTGGAGTCGCTGACATCAGTGAAAACTCTGTTGAGTCACTCCACCTGAATTCAGAAGAGATGACCGAAAGAGCAGATCTGGCAGGCTGTTTCTAAAGCATTTTTTTTTAAGAGCAAACCATCTGGATTTATCCAAAGGACAATGCCAATGTGCATCTTTTGGTGTTTTGATAAGAAAACACTCTTCCAAAGGCAAAATAATGATAATAATAACAGCAGCCTTTGCATCCCTCCTGGATACGTGCTACCATTATTCTCCAACCCTGCGAAGTTAATTTCCCTACCTATATTTCATGACCCATTCACTCTGTGTAACGAGCTTCACAAGTGTTCACCCACTCACCGTTAGTGTCTGGCTTGCTTCCATTGGAAGGTCCACCACCATGTGTGGTGAGAGCCATGACTACCACATGGTCGTGTTCCCTTGATTAAGTCTTTCAAGAAAGGAAACAGGTGCAGTGGCTATCCGAGGCAGGATTATGAAGGTGGGAAAGGAAGATGAAGGAAGTTTAATAAGTACCAAGCTATTGTTTGATAGCAGAAGGAAGTTCTGGAGTTCTATTAAATAGAGGATAACTATTGATAATGGAAATAGGTTGTGCATTAAAAAAAAAGCCAGAAGGAAATTTTTTTTTAATGTTTTTATCATGAAAAAAGTGTTTGAGGAGATGGAACTATTTATCCTGCTTGGAGCATGATACCATACACACAGTATCAAAACATCACACGATATTCCATAAAAATATAGAATTGTATGCCCAGTTACAAACTTTAGAAATAAGGTATTAAATTCCGGGGAAAAAAATAATACTGGTAAAAATTAAAAGCAATATCAGGGGTTCCTGTGTGACCATAATAACCACCTTATACAGATAATTCTCTACATCCTCTCTGGGAGTAGTAGTTGCTAGCATGTGCAAAATCATACCTGCATGGTGGTTCATGCAGAAAGAACCTGATCCATTTTACATTGCTTGTTAGAGGACTAGTGAAGAGGACAGAAGGGTTAAGAAGAAATACAGCCTGGCTTCCTCTCTGAGCCTGCCGTGTAGCTTCAGTCTAATCATTCACTGCTCCTGTCTTTCTCTAGATGGAGGCTTTTAATTCATAGAGAAAATTGTTTCCAAATCCAGAGCATAAACATAATTTTTGTAAAGACATTTGAAGCTCAAGAAAGAAAAGCTTTTGTTATCGTGGGCATCGTGATTATTTCTATTAGCAACATGGTGAAAGGCTCTCTGCATCCAATTTACTTTTCAGCATCTGCCAAAGTAAGGATGAAATGAATCCCATGCTTGGAGGATGGATTCATGACATCTCAATTCTAGAAGAAATTTCTGGGTGTGTCTGCACTCCTGTTTAGCATTCATTCTCGAGCCGTTCCTGCTGGTAGCACCCAACTCTGGAAATGCTCTCTCAACAGGTACCACAAGCAACAACGCTGGCTGTTTCACAGGGGAGCTATGGAGCATCTTACTTCCCTATGTCTCACAGCCCATCAGTGCCAGGGAGACAGCAACCCAAGAAGAAATGGAGAGCAAACTCTGGAAGAACAGTTAAAATCTCCCTGCTGCCTCCCCACACCCCAAGTCTCTGATTGAGCTTCTTTCCCATTCTAGGTTTTGTTTAAGATGTTTCTAGGAAGTGCCAACTTTGGTGAAGCTGCACACTTTGTCTCCACCTTGGGTTTCTTCAATCTGATCTTCATCTCCTTCACACCGGTCATCCTGTACTTCACCAAGGTGGAGCACTGGTCATCTTTCGCAGCACTGCCTTGGGGTTGTCTGTGTGGCATGGCAGGGCTGTGGCTGGGTAAGTGGACCCACATTTTGCTCCTTGACGTTGCCTTGGATTATCATGGTGGAATGATAACCTTAGGGGCCTCTATTCTTGGCTTCCCAAGTTTATGTTGGTTGATGTCAGTGTACATTTGGCAGATTCTTTGCAGGCTCTTGTTTGATTAGATTGGAAATGAGTGGCTCCCATGAGTTAAGGTGTGCAGCTGAGAACCAGGCCACTGGGAGAAAAAAAAAAGTGGGGGGACACAAATAATACAGGCTCTTCTACCCAATGCTCATTCCCCCAATGGCTTCAGCAGCCAGGTCTCTACCTGGCTGAAACCAGAACCCTGGACCTCCAACTTGGTCTCCTATATTAGTGGCAAAGTCCCTAGCACTTGTGCTGTCTTTGGTTTCCTTCCCAGGAATTAGCAGGGAGTTGAATCAGAGGTGTAACAACCAGTCTCAAGCTGGTGTTCCTGTATAGGGTCCTGTAAGTCCCGGTGTAGCCCATTGTGGCACAATGTTGGTCCCTCCACCCCCCACATGTCATGATAACCCAATGGGTGGCACCAAGTGCTAGAGAGAGGTGAGAATTTGAGCTTGCATTCAGCTAACTCAGAATGGTTCTGGTTCTAAACAGCTGAGAGCACTTATTGCAGGAGGAAGGAGGAGATGTGTGAAGCTGGAGATCAAAGAAAAAAAAAAACTGCCTGCAGGGATTTGAACTTAAAATCCACCCAAAGACCCGTCAGCAGGGATGTGACAGGTTCACGTCCACATATGAAACAGCTCATTCTAGGCACGGAGAAGGTATTTGTAACAGGAAGCCCTCATCGGAGGAGAGAAAAGGGTGGAGTAAAATGTGTCCCATTAATGGCCAGGAAGAGGTCCACTTGGGATCTTGTGACTAAAGCTACCTGCTGCGGCACTGGAACTCCAGCCTCCCAATTCAAACTGCACTGCAGCTGCTGCTTTGTGAGAGGGGCCTGGGAAACAACAAGCCTGGTTGCTCACCAAGCAGCAAATAACAGCAGCAACCACATGGCTCAGAACATGTGTTCAGTCACCATCAAGTTACTTCCTTTGCTCCTTCAAAACAGCCCCTAAAGACAGAACCCCTGCTCACTTCACATTCTCACACTTACTTAACCTGCAGGATAAGTGCCAGTCCTCAACTGACCTTTTGCAAGGCAGTATGATTTGAAGTAACGGTAACACTGCAAGGCCTGGGAGAAAAATAATCTCATTTTCATTCCCACACAGGCATCCATCATCTTTATACACTTTGCGGAGGTCTTTATCAGACAGGGGCTGTGTGAAAGAACGGTCAAATGCTAACTGTTGGTCCCTTGAGGTTTACTTTTCACATCATGGTTATCACCTGTCATAACCTCTTCTTAGCAGAACACAGATCATCAATTCCAAGTGCAGCAGGCTGGAGCATCCTAATTCAAAGTGCTAGACTAGTCCCTCTACCAGGGAAAATCATGAATAAAATGGACTCTTGGCTTCCACTGTACACACATGAGTTCTACTTTGCTCTAAATAGCCCTTAACCAATGTCTACACTGTTGCGTTTTTCATTTACACTCCTAGGCATGCTTGCTGAGACTGGGTGCCAGCCGTGCCATCTGGACCCTGGAGTTTGCCACCAAGCATCATGGTCTGCATGTGTAGTGCCAGGTCTACCCCCAGTATGCTGTAAAGCTCATTGGATCAACACTGTGCTGTGACAAACGGGACTGAGTCAGCCTCTGTCTTACTGTGGCACACATCCCAGGGGTCCACAGACTTCACTGCTTTCATTCTTATATTTATCATTTTCATTCTTCTCTGTGGCAGCAAGAATGATCTGGTAGGGGCTGGTCTGAGAAAGAGAGGGGGGAAGAGAGAGAGAGAGAGAGAAATGAGAGAGAGGGCTTACACATACATACACATACCCATCTGTGCTCAGAGATGCCAACGTTCTCTTGTAAAGGTGACTTCCTTACGAGCCTGGGCTCACCATGCCTCACTCCTTTCTCAGGTTCATCTGCTTCCAGAAGTACCTTAGTCATGATGCAGGCTGACTTTATTCAGCCACCTGACATGTCAGAAGCTCCAGCGGGGCCTTGTGACCCTGCCAACACTGGACCTATGTATTCTTTTCCTTATACTGTCGAAAGAGAAGGGAAGTGTTCCATCTAAAGAACTCAGGAGAAATAGCCTATTTCTGAGAAGTTACCTGGCTCCTTTATGAGAAGGGCTCAGTTCTCCCCAAATACCTTTGCTTTCACTCTATATGCTAAAGTAACCAGTTCAGCCACTACCACATCAGTTAGGGAGCTTGACATTCTAGTAAGCCCCTTATCTTATGACTTTGCATGTTTGACTTTCTGAAGAGGAAGTCAAGGTGCTGAGTGCTTGGCTTGCACTGCAACCTTGCCATAAAGGGAAAGCAGGGACTTGCTTGGGCAGCCCTCTGCCTTGATCACCACTCTTGCTTTCTGGACATTAGAAAGGAGCCTAAGCCTTATGGGACTTCAACTTGTTGTCTCTAACTGCCAAGCATAAGTGACTCCAGGTATTTAAGTCCCTGGGGTTCACAAGAGCAGAAATGATAAAGGGTGATACGAGAATAGACATGATCCTAATTGGAATGGTTCTAAAATCTTCTTTGATTCTGCAGAAATATGATTAACATTTTTGTGCCATTTTCATAGGGATCTTCCTTGAATTGAGGAATTCATAGTTAATATCCACCTCTCCAGCCCTTAAAACAAACATATGCTTGAATCCTATTAAAATAATAGGATAATTATTTCTTCTTGTTGAAAACCTGTACTTGCTAATTTTTGAGGAGAGATGATTGTCTTATCTGCTTTTATACTTAACTAAGGAAGTTGAGAGATACTGAAGAACATCAGGTTGTATCTTCAATAGCTTTGAAGGCCAACATTCTGGTAGCCTGTGCCCAAGGCAGACTAGGAAACTGTCTGAGGGAGTTCGACGGGTTATGTTAGCCACACCCCTGTGAGGTTTGCTCATACGATGGTCACCTGGAGAGAGGGACTAACAGCATGGGCTGTCTGTCCTTCGCTAGACATTGGCCACACCTTCCTTCAGGCAGTCCCACCAGAACCTTTCTTTGTCCAGGAATATGACAAAATAGAGTGAAGTTACACCGAGATAAAGCATCGAAACTCAATCACCTGCTTCTTTTCACCCTCTCCGGCAATGCTAATAAACAGCATGGCGAATTGATGATCTACCTCTTGGCATTTGTTGCAGTGCACCTTTGGCTGGGAAATTAGCAATGGCACAAGCAACCACGGTGACAGAGAAGGAAAAATACACAGCTCATTCATGCCACGCATGCGTACATTTATCCAGAATTAGAGGATTAAATGGCCAAAGGCAAAGTTCCCTTCGAAGTCACATTCAGCCAAGAAGATATTGATTCTTCTATGCTAAAAAGAAAAGGCGCCCAGTGCATCAATTCCTCTTCATCCTGCTTATTTTCTCCATTTCACAGCCTTCAACATCCTGGTGAATGTAGGTGTGCTGCTGACATATCCCATCCTGATCTCTATCGGGACAGTCCTCAGTGTTCCTGGAAATGCAGGTACTGCCCCAATTAGACACATATGGGTTCTGAACATACAATACGCCTCCTGTTCCTGTGTGTGTTAGCTCTGAAATATTTCTTCTATAAATGCTGAATTATGTCCCTTGCCTGGGAAGATGTTTTTAAATATCCTGAAGGTGGCAGACGACAGAGTAACTGTGCATGGAATTTTAAATTTTCAGCTGCAAAATTTTCAGCTACTGTTTTCACTTGGTTGTGCTTTTAGAATTAAACAGCCAATGTATCATTTGGGTTTCAAGTAATCTCTCTGACAATGTAATTTTGGGATATTTTTAGAGGCGATCCTGTAGAAACAAAAGACAACCCCGCATGGGACTCTCAAATAAACGTCACTAATGAAAGTGTAGGAAACGTGCAGGGTGTCGGCTCTCATCAGACCATCCCCTGGGAGTTACAGGAGCTGCACTGGAGACAGAGCAGGTGGCCCTTGGAAACAGATAGAAGGAAACACGAATTCAAGTCCCATCAGAAATAACAGGAAAAGCTGGTTTTCCAGCACAATCTTTCTATTAAAACTGCTAGTGAAACAAGCAATGAAAATGGATTATCTGCATAACTATTTCAGACCCTACGTTTGAAATTCTGCAATTCCAAATCTTGAGTTGCCATCTTTCTTTCCTCCAGGATAATCAGAAATATACTTATTATTACAATCAGGGCATTAAAAAGATATGGGGAAAATTATACAAATGTTGCTTTAAGAACACCAACATATACAAAGCATCTTGGAAGTATACAAAGAAAGGTATCGTTAAATGCCAATTGGAGATGGACTCTGAGCGACATGTGTTGTTCACAGGGAAGGAATAGCAGATGAAGCAGAGTTGTCGAGGAAGTTCCTTCATTCATTCATGGACTAATTCATTCAACAAGTATTTTTTAGGGTGAAATGAATGCTGATAAGTGTGATTGCACTGCTTGAGATTGGACTCTAAATGAGACACAGTCCTTTTGCTGAGGGTCATGTAGAATAAAAGGGAAGACAAAAGGAATTGAGCAAATACAATGTGGAGAGAGAAGTGTTTTGCCAAAGGTGGAGAGTGCATACTGTGAGAGGACACAGGAAGAATATCCAAGAGATTTTCTGCAGGAGGTCCAAAAGGAGAAGGCTCAGTGGAAAGAGGCCTTAGAGAACCACGTGCAAAAAGATTAGCGTAGATGTGGCTAACACCTCCACCGTAAAGTGTATACCTCAAGCACTTGAAGCAGGGATTCAAAAACATTCTTGCACACAAACGTTTATAGCAATAACCTGGGTGGTATCCACAGAGGAGAACACCCAAATGTTTGTCCACAGAATGACCCATGTATCACACTCTGAATTTCCAGAAGATCGTGCTAAGTGGAAGAAGCCAGGCACTTTGTGGTCATGTGGTATAAAAATCTCATTTCTATAGAATATCCAGAACATGCAAATTCATAGAAGGAAAAGTTCATTAGTGACTACTAGGAGCTTGGAAATAAGGGGAAGGGAGTGAGAAAAAAAAAATTTAATGAGTATCGGGTTGTTTATTTTTTAAGTTGATGGAGATGTTTGGGACAACAGAGGGGATGGTTGTACTAAATGCCATTAAGTTAATGATTATTCAATATTATGTAAAGTTATCCCAATTCAAAAATATTAAAGAACAACATCATGGCTGGCATTGTGGCTTAGAGGGTGAAGCTGCCACCTGCAATGCAGCCATCCCATATGGGTTCATGATTGTGTCCTGGAGCCTCCACCTGTGACCCCACTCATTACTAATGCACCTGGAAGAGTAGTGGAAGATGGCCCCAGTGCTTGGATTGCAGCCACACATGTGGGAGACCTGAAAAAGCTTCAGACTTCAGACTGGGACGGTTCTGGCCATTGTGGCCAACTGGGGAGTGGATCAGTGGTTGCAACATCTATCTCTGTAACTCTGACTTTCAAGTAAATTCACTTTTTTAAAAAAATAATAATATCTACAAAGGACTAAACCTGAACCAGGCTGACTCACTTGAACAATTCCCAGCGATTCAATGAAACCAGAGAAAGGCAAGTGGGTATGGGGGGGGGGGAAAACAAAGTTTTAGTAAATGCAACTGCAAGGTTTTCAATTGTGAAGGATAAGTGTGATTTACAGCAGGGGAAGGAGAAGCAAGCAGAGCTGGATAAAGGGAGCTTCAGCTCGAAAAAAGGAAGAGTTAGAAAATGTCTAGAAGTGACATTGACTTAGACTGGCAAAGCTCAAAACCAGCCATTGGCTGTAACTGACCTGGTTTGTTTCTTCCTTAGCTGTGGATCTCCTGAAACAGGAGGTGATATTCAACGTTGTCCGCCTGGCCGCCACCATCATCATCTGCCTCGGCTTTCTGCTGATGCTGTTGCCTGAAGAGTGGGATGAAATGACGCTGCGATTCATCAATAGCTTGAAGGAAAAGAAGAGTGAGGAGCGCGTGGATGAGGTGTCGGACCCTGGAGTGCACCTGCGGAGCAGGAGCAGGGTCAACGGGGCCGTGTCCATACCGCTCACCTGAACAGGGACACAGCTTGGATGCACGTGGATGTATATTCTGTGAATATGATAAAATTTTCTCACTACCTGTACACTCAATCAACAGTATTAACTCTGAATTTGAATAAGTCATATTGTGAAATAATGCCAACAGTAAAAGTTTACATTTATATGCTTATCAAGAAACTGGTGTAAATAATCATAATAAATTTTTTAATGAAGACATATCCATCTTTGTCCTCTCTTTGTTTTGAGGGAGTCCCCCCACAACTCCCATCATTTCCTGAAAATATAAGACTTAATTCATTCATGGACTTGAGAGAAAATTGTCTTTCAGTCAGAGAAAGTTGTCTAGAAGAAAAACGCATGATAATGATAAGCACTTTGTGTTTATTTAAGTCCAATAAGAGCCTAAAAACCTGAGAACTGGACAACCATTAATGAAATATCACCAAAGCAGCTTTTCTATGCAAGATCTATACTAGGAGAAATGATGGTATAAGGAGTCTAAGTAGGTCTTTGAGTAATTTCCACATTCTGAGAGTAGAATTGGATATAAGGTAGTTTACAATGTCTGATGAGGTGGATGTTTGAAAATGGTGCAATGAGTCATACCTCAAGTCCTTCCCCACCAAGTTTCTTGAAAAAGTTTTTATTTTTGCTGCCAGTTCTTCAGTTTCCCTCCATCGTTCCTCTGAAAGCACTCGCAAACATCACCGATGACTCTACTCTTGATAAATCATCTCAACATTTTGCAACCCATGCATTTTGTGCTCTCAGATGCATTTTGCATAATGAGCTTTCCTTTTTGCTAGAACATTCTCTACTCGGCTCCTGTAACTTTCTCCTGGTTCTCACTCCATCTCATTGGCTGCCGCTCTGAGCTCTTCCTTCTATGCTGATTTCGGCACCTGCCTTGTGCTGCAGGCTCAGTTCTCATGCCTTTTGGCATCTCCCTCCCCACTCTCTCCCTCAGGGGATTCAACTCTTCTGCTCCCATGGCTTCAACTGTCATCCATCTGGCAATAACTTCAAACAATCTTCTCCAACCCAGACTTGTTCCTTGGGCTTCAGATATGATGACTTAGATGCCTTCTGCAACTCACTTGGACGCCTCCTTAAACGTCTCATATACAACAAAAAAATTTAATTCATCACCACTCCTTCCAAGGCTACTCCTTTTGTTCCCCATCAATGTTAATGCTATTGTCATTCACTCAGTGTGGAAACCATGGGTCAAAATCAAATTCTACCTCCTTATTCTCCACATCTAAACAATGTGCATTTGTTAACATGCTGAGTCATGCCTTTCTCTCCTATACTGCTTATTCCAGGTTCTCATCGTGTACTGCAATGAATGCAATAGTCTCTCATTGCTATGCTTCCTTCTCTCTGATGCCTTTGTGCAGGATGACTTTTCCAGCATAAATGTAATTATTCTGCTCCCTTGTATGAACTGCTTCCATTATATCTCATTGTCTGAACACTCAACATGTCATTCAAAGCTCGTCGCTCGCTAATCCCATTTCAGCCTCTAGTACAACATCCAGTACAAATTTTTGTGACTATGCTTGTAGTTACTGAGCACTTTTAGTGTGGTTAGTGCAATGGAGGGTCTATGTTGATACTTTTATTTCATGTGAACTCATTCAAAGTCAAATTTAATCAGCCATTGTTAATTAATCAGCTACCATATTAAACCTACGCTGTCTTTAGGGTTGTCCTAGAATTCATATGATTCGGTAACGAAAGACTTCTTGCAACTCTTGAGTGAAACCATACTTTGCTTCTTGAGTTTCCTTTTTCTCTCCCATCACTTGATTATCCTTGTCTAGACTTCATGAAGTTACTTGTTGATAGCTTGCTGAGCAGTCTCTGCGCCTGTGACAACACTGACTGCTCCCTAGGGAATTATCCTTCCACTTGTCTGAGATTCTCACAGACACTGAGCCCCTTGGAAGTAGGGGCCATACAGCAGCCATCACTGTGTTTCCAATGCCTGGTACTTCTACAGACATTTGGTAAATGGGTAACTTTATACTGGATACATCCCTTCCTCTTTAAAAATTGCAATGGATTAGTCTCAGTCAAGGGCAAGCATTGTTGAGGTTGGTTAGATGAAGGACTGAAAGAGGTTAAATATCCAATAGCCTTTGCTATGTTTCCACAAAGTGCTGATAAATTCTGAATTCGATCCAAGGTACACATTTCGTAATGATATAGTTAGTGCAGCAAACAATTCAAAATACTTGGCATTTGGTGGGGAATTTAATACCAGAAGCCAAGATTTTGTAGCATCTGCTTTTCCCACTCATTTTTTTTTTTTAAAGTCAAGTGTCCCTAAAGTGTAGGCAAGACAATCACAAGGCAATAAAAATGGATTCAGAATATCACACTCACTGGCTGGGCATCATGGTAAATAAAAACCATAATGTGTCAAGTCTTTGATTTATCTGTCAGTTTCTGAAAAGGCAGTGCCAGCATTCTGGCATAGATAAATGACTTGATTTTAACGAAAATAATAACTGTGACACATTTTAAGCTTCGTGAAAAAATGGTACAATGTAAATGAAATACATTTTGAGTAAATATGAGTTAATTTATTATCCATGTAGAGTTAGTTTTGACTGCTTAAATGTCTTATTGGCACAAGAAGGACCCGAGCATTGTCTTTAAATTACTGTTAAATAGCAGTAATCACTGACTAAATGCACTCAACATTGTGCCATTATTTAACATGGCATTTAAAATTGCATTTTGACATCCTTAAGAAATGAGTTGTTTTGCTGTTTTGATGACTCCATCAGTTACCGTGGAAAGCACTAATTCACCCTAAGACAAATCACCACAATTACTTTAGTCTATATTAAGAAAACACTTCCGCTATGGTATTCATTCATTTATTCATCCAAACATTATTAGATTCTACTTCCAGCTCTGAGGTGAGAGACTATGTTAAAGCATGACAATGATAAGCATTGTCAAATAGAATTTCCTGTAATCACGGAAAAAAATTCTATATCTGTGATGTGGGCAAAAATATGCTAATATATGAGGAAGTATCCCTGCTTCCCAGAGCTTTCAACTTTTGTAGATAAACTGTCATTCTAACAACATGGAAAAAAAATCATTCAAATCAGCTTTGGGAAAGTGAAATAGTACTTTTAGTTCAGGAAAAGTAGTTGTAAATCAAGATAAGTCTTGCTACCTTCCAGAGTTATTCCAAAATAAATCTGTGTTTCAGTAACTGAACATTTAGGGTTGTGCCTTCCTTGTGTCTGTGTCACATCATCAATGATCAGAACCTAGATGGGTGTGACAATTAAGACACAATGGTTAATTTACCACTTGGGACAACTGTACCCAACATCACGGTATACAGATTCCAATTCACACTCCCCACTAATGTGCACCCTGCACAGACAGTAAATAATGACCCAAGGACTTCAGCCCCTGCCACGTGTTTGGGAGACTAGAATGGAGTTCTAAACTCCTGGTCTTTATATGTGTGTGTGTGTATATATATATATATATAGAAGAAAGTCTCTACCTTGAGAGTGGAAGTACTGTGTTAAGCTTGCTGTTCTCCTGTGTCTTAATGCAAACCTTATTCCTGTCCAAAATCCAGGAGATCGATGGCTTCTCTAACTCACTAGGTAGGCAGTTGAGTTTGGGGACTAAGCACTTACATTTTCAACCCAAACATCACCCTTCTTGTTGGCATGATCTATAGGCATCTCATCAGCACTCAAATAAAATACTCTGGCAAAAATGTGGAAAAAGGAACTCATACAAGTGTTGGTAGGATTGTAAATTAGTGCAGTCACTGTGGAAAACAGTATGGAGATTTCCTTTAAAAAGTAGAAACGGAACTGCTTTGTGACCCAGGAATACAATTACTAAGTAAATATCCAATAGAGATGAAATTGTAGATCAAAGTTATGACAGCTTCACCATGCTTGTTGCAGCACTATTCACAAAACCAAAAAAAGGGAAATGATCAAGGTTCAACATCAGATAAATGGGTAAAGACAACGTGGTATATGTGCAGAATGGACTGCTATTCAACCACGAAAAAGAATGAACTCTATCATTTGCAGCACAATAAATGAAACCAGAGACGTTCATGTTGATGAAAATAGATCAGATGCAAGGATATAAAAGCTTAAAAACTGAATTAAAATACTCATCATTTAGGATTGTTGAAGACACACGTACACAGGAAGTACATAGGAAGATCTCAATGCACTCAGACAGTTAAAGACAGTCATCCTGACAGCAAGCTCTTCATTTGTGACCTTCATCCAGGTCCTGATGCTGAACTTGCATGTACAACCTTGAGCTCCAGGTGTGTCCTTTACCCACTGATTTCACAGCAGGGTGTCTAAGCAACGTCACAGAGACTGATGCTGAGCAGGGGATCTTACCCAAAATAAACTACAGAAGTGAAAGAAGCCTGGCATGAGGAACGCTCAGAGGAAGCAAAAAATGGATGTGCCATTTCCGTTTGCCTGATTCCCCTGGGCGCTCTGCATCAGGGCATTCTTGCCCAGCCAGTGGAACTAATTGCCTGACAAAAAGACAGACTAGCAACTTGGGCTCTGAAATTAAAATCACTTCAACCACGTCCTGATCTCTTCACAAACAGATTATAGGCCAATCAATTTTACTCATTCAAGCTTCGCAAGGCTGCTCATTTTGTGCAGGCATATTGTCTAGATCCACCAGAGGACAAATGATTAGGAGAAGGACAATGCAAGAGATGAAAGAGCAAACAGTATCACTGGCCAGGCCAGAATGGTTCCAGTATTTAAGCATAAATCCTCTTTCTTTTTTTACCTGTAAGCCCTTTCAGACATACAAAGAACACCTCGCAGCAATATTACTGGTTTCTCTGGAAGGCTAGAACAAGAAGTCTCTATTAGTTCTAAGTCTTTTTATGTCTTTTCTTGTCCACACTCATAACCTCATAACAATTGTAGGCGAAGCAGAGGAGGACCTGGGAGCAATGTCATGGAGTATCTATCGGTGCCAAGGGCACAGAGCCGAACCAGCAAAGAACCCTGCCTTGACTTCCCCAGCTGGCCAGCATGCTACCCACACTGTGCTGCTGAAGCAAAGACACCTGTGGCTGCTGGAGACAACAGCACTACATCCCCTTGGCACATCAAGGAAACTCAGAACAAGAATTTTTTTAAAGATTTTTAAATTTATTAGAAAGGCAGATTTACAGAGAGAAAG